GAGTGCGCAGACCGGCTCCGTCCATTGAGTCTGCGGCGGGGAGGCTCCTCCCCGCGGAGCGAGCAGGTCCGCGCCCCGCTTCGCCCAGTGAAGCGGACAGACAAGCGGAAGGAAGCCCGGGTCCGGAGGGAGCTCAGAGGTTCCCCGTTCCCCAGGACAGGACTCCGGCCTCCGCCACAGCCTGGTCTGGACGGAAGAGGACAGACGGGGATCAAAGGCCCACGGGTCCCGTCACCTCTGGCTCCGGCGAACGTGAAGGGACCGTGAAGGGACCTTTTCCAACCGGCTGGGCCGGCAGACAAGCCCTCCGCGTGAGGCCACCTACCCTGCGCCTGTGGGATGGTCTTTGGTCTTTCCTTCTGGAATCACGCCTCCTCCTCCCCCACAGGCTCCATCAAGCCGAGTCAGGCACAGCGCTCCCAAGGTTCCAGATCAATCCTGGCCTAAAGCTCCGCGCTCTGGGAGAGGATTCCTGTGGGTGTCCCGTCAAATGGGGGACAGTGACCCAATGTGGTTCTTAATACGGAACTTGTCTCACTCACTCGTGGGTGATACTTCACTTCTCGACACATTCCTGTTTTTATCCTCCCTTTCCAAGCTCCACGAGAGCAACAGTAATGTAATCTCCTCCTAGTGGCCCTCGCCCTCCTCAGACCACTTTTAAGGAACGTGAGCGTGGTTGGTTCAGACAGGAAGTTAGGGATTCTCAGGGTCCCGCGTTTCCTGGGACCACTGAACTTCATTCAGTTCCTTGAAGGTCGCAAGTTCCATGTACATTTAACGTCTGGGAATGATATATAATTCTCTACTTGAAACATTAAAAAAATTAAACGTAACAGACACACTTAAATGTTTTCCAGGTTAGGGGTAAGTTCCATATCCTAAGTCCTCAGGTCCTAGCACAGAATGCCTTTGTCGTACTGGGTAAAATCCGGCCGAATAGTATTTTAAACAGATTCATTCTTGCAGATGTTGCCTTTGAAGGAGACTGAGTGGCGCCTTCAGGGGGAGCCAATGTATAGCCGAGAGCCAGAGCTCATCCGTGCGGTGTGCTCACACGCCTCTGGGTAGTACCTCCTTTTTCTTTTCTTTTTTTTTTTAAGATTTTATCTATTTATTTGACGGACAGAGATCACAAGTAGGCAGAGAGACGGAGGGAAGCAGGCTCCCCGCTAGGCAGAGAGCCTGATGTGGGGCTCGATCCCAGGACCCTGGGATCATGACCTGAACCGAAGGCAGAGGCTTTAACTCACTGAGCCCCCCAGTACCTCCTTTTTCATTCATTCCTGACAGCCACATACATCACAAGCCCACGCAGATTCCAGGAACCAGAATCTCTTAAGAATTCTGCCTGTGTCTTCCATAAATAACAAATAATTTAAGGGAAAAAGAGGTCAGTACACCTGTGGAAAGGAAGTTAGAGCGTCAGCCTCAGGAGCTGTTGACGGGAAGAGAAGCTGGGTTCCAGCGCCTTGTTTGGACCATAACACTAGTATAAGAAGGACGGCAGCACAGCTAACATGGGTAACGGCTACATTTATTTTATACCAAAAAAGTTATGTGCAACAAATAAACATTCTTACATATTTACATTTGTTTTTTTTTACCAGTTAGCAAAACTGTCCTAAATCTCTGATAAAGAATATCTCTATCTATAGTAAAGGGGGAAGTCTGCCCAGTGAACTCCACTTTAAATGAGTGTTTGCTCTGGAGCTTAAAGCACGAGTAATAAATATTTTTGATGGAACGTACTATACAGATCATACACCTAATACTTAGGCCATGCTTAATACAGTTTTATTACAAAACATTTTACCTTTTCTGGGCTCATTTGTGGGGAAAAAAATTAACCAAGTAGCCTGGATTCCCACCCCTGCCCCTCCTGTTTGATTGAAGGGGAGAGTTCTCACAGATTAGGAATCATAAGTGCTGCCTAAAATGTCTGAATAGAAATGTTCCACCAATGCTTGCATGTTGGGGGAAAATACAGGAGGACAAAGGTTGCATGTTAGGTATTCCTTCCCAAATAGGTTACCAAAAATGATAGTGGATTTCTTGTTGGCGTTTGTCTAACATGAATTTTCAAGACAAGATTTGTCACCTTTCGCTCATGTCAAGTGTTGGTTCCAATCGCAGTTCAGAAGTAGTCACTGAAGATAATTGCACTTCTGATAATCTTATAAATGAAATACAAGCAAACTAAACCCAAGAAATGGTTTTAATTTCACTGGAATCTTGGTCCTATATCCTACTGAGTAGGGTCCAAAGATCTCTTGTACCAAACGACAGATCTTCGTCTCTGTATGAAAATAGTCAATGCTTTCAACATCTTTAAAAGTAACAGATTTAGAGTGAGGTGACATACATCAAGTAGAAGTAATTCCTGGCACACAGCTGGTTAAACCTGAGTTATTTCACCAGTTTACCTTCGTGGAAAGCACCTAGCTGCAGTGAAAAACAATGAAATCCTCCAAACCACCTAGATTGCCTAGAATTTGTCATCTAACCCCAGTTTCTCTTATTTCTTCAAATGTTAAGACTACCAAGTAAGGGGCTTCATTTGTTATGATAGATTCCCCAAATCAAGAAGCGTGGAATTACTGCAAAGCCCAGAAATCCAATCCCGCCCCCACCCGCCAAATTTGTTCTTCAGTGTTGGTGGCTAGTAATGTTGCAGTGTTTTAAATATTGAGTCTAAAATAGTCCTAATAGTCCTCGTAGTTTATAGCATGGTGTTTTCTCCTTGGGGTGGAAGAGAGGATGGAGAAGGAAGCCTAAATGCTTCCACCAGGGTCCTGCTGCTTACAGAGATGCTGGCATTACGATGCTGTTATTTGAGGCAGCACACCATCATCGCTCAGTGAGAAAAAGGGTATGAATTCTACTGGGGTCACAGGAACGTTGCAGAAATTTTTGTATGACTAAAACAGTGGTGTTTCCCCCAAGGATTATTAGGAAAGCAAAGGAAAACCTGGAGGGTCTGGCTGAACAGTTTTACGTTTTATCATATGAGAGTTGAAGACATTTGCAAGAATGCAGCATCAAGACAAGCTTTAACTATACTCTGCTGATTGATACAAAATATGATGAAAAACCATTTTAAATTGGGACACGAGGAACTTATTTAGGACAACCAGTGTTATATATACCACAGAAGTCTTCACTGTTAACCATTTCCACTCTAGCTTAGAAGACAGAACCGTGAGCTGCGTGGCAGGACTGGAAGCATTCTACAAAGATGACCTCTGGACATCATGACTGGACAAGGTCTTCAGTGCTAGGACTTGTTTCTCCATAGACACCAGACATCCAATTCAATGCTTTCTGGAGTTCATTCACTACAGAAACAAGAACAATACATACATAATAAAACAGGCATTGGAATATTCACATTCATGGGAAAACACAAGCCTGGAAATCCGAGTTCGGCTTTTACAAAACTGGGTAAAACTGGTTGAAAGTTCATTACAGTTCAGATGTTACACCTGCCTTGGGCCAGAAAGATACACTGCATCAATTAGGACAGTTAGGCGGAAACTGCTGAACAGCTGCTGACTCCACACATTATGGGTTACAGAGCAGAACCTGTCCCCTCCCTTCAAAAAGAAGGCTCATTCGTGAAAGCACTCAAAAGTTACCGGTCTGTTTTTAACATAATGATGAGACTAACTGGAAGCAAAAACATTGCTACTACTTCTCCTCTAAGGAATAAAATGATCATACAGAACCTTTCTAGAGAATAATGCAGGTTTTCTACTTCATGGTAAGAGGAAGAAAGGACACTTCTGCCCAAGTTCAACACACAAAATATTTGGTTTGAGGTTTAAGACAGAAGGCACTTTTAACATTTTGATAGAAGGTGTTAACCATAGAAGCATACTGTCACAATTTCATTTGGGTTTATTCACATCACCATTAAAACCTAGGCATTTGCGTAGTTTCTAGAAAGAGCAGTGACACTGTTAGTGTACTTCGCCTTCAGATGTTTCTACCTGCACCACTCCCGATGGAGCAAACTCAGAAGCGCGTCAGCCCTAAGATTTACCGATCTAATACTGACTCTAAAACAATTAAGTTAGACATCCAATTAGTGCAGGATGAAACGGGAAATACTACAGGGCGACCCAAGAGTGATCCTACTCTGGAGCAACGGGGCTTCTATTGGCTATTTCAAGGTCCTAATACTGTTTGGTTGGCTGGCACCAATGTGAAGGGAAACTTATGCATGACAATCCAGCTACTGTAAGAGGCTTTACCTAGAAATGCCATATCAATGTTTCCAGCTTTTCTCCAAAGAATTCTACCCACTTCCCCATCTTTAGTGTCCTGAAGACCTTGGATGTGAAGGTCTGGTCACATGACTCATTTTGTAAGGTTATAATTGATCCAGTTTTATGACTAGACACAAGCTTGACTTGAATGTCCAAATTTAGCTTCTTCCTTTCCAAGGAAGGAGATGAAAGGGAACCAACTACCCTATGATTTTGCTGTCAGTACTCCTCACAAGATGCTCCGTTCGGACTTACTATTTTCACTATTTCTTCAGTCAACGTTGGGCTGACAATTCTTCATTGCTACACTTCAACTAAACTGTACAGTAAGTTCTGCAGGGATGGATCCAATATTTCTACCTTTATTTACAAATATCACATAAATGGATTCTAGTTGAATCTACATGTTTAAATCCATCGGCTAAAAACATATTACATATTGTAAACATGGCAATATTTAATACAGTATCTATTCTAAAATATTTTCATGTCATGATCACATTTGTTATACCTGAAATTGAATTTATACACGTTAGAGAATTACTAGCAATGGTCGCTCACTTTACAATCAAGGGCAGGGGGCTAGGGCTATATTTTATTATTTCGGAAACATCTTCAAAGTAAAGTTAAAGCTTGTCTTTGATTGGCTCGGCATATCCTTTTTTCTTTTCTTTTTTTGTATCCATATTCAAAATGAAGATTGACACAGAAAATAGCTAGGGCCCCTTCTAATTTACAGGATTTTAAAAAATCAGTTTGAGATTCTTAGGGAGAGTGTCTATTGGAGAGATTGAAAAAACAAAACAAAACAAAACTGCTGCAAAAGAACCCTAATGGGAAAGGGGGCTCAGCGGCCAGTTCGGAGTTTGTCCGTCCGCGGTCAGTCCTGCTTAGGCTGCAGCTGCCGCTTCCAGGCCTCGTTCAAGTAAACCAGTCGCTTGTAGTTGATGATGAGAAGAACGAAGTTCAGCACGTACGTGACGACGCAGATGAGGCAGAACTCCTTCAGCACAAAGTACAGGATGTAGGCCAGGTACAGGGAGCCCACCACGGACACGATGGAGGACGTCATGAGGACTAAAGCTGCCACTGCGCTTGCGGTCATGCCTGCAAGGGGAGAGACACGGCTCGGTCAGGCCTTGATGACGGAGAAAGTCTCGGAGTCAAAAGCAAGCATTCTGCGATCTGCTGCAGTGTTGGAATGCTGATTTTACTGAAACACGCGATGGAATTTGGGAGCGAAAACGACTGGTCTGGTGAGATTCTGCGGGCTGACTCTGCACACAGAGCACCAGTCTTGCAGCCGCAGTGTTTCTCACTTGTCAGTATTCTAGGTGAAGTATCATTACTTGGACCGTGAACGGGCCTTAGTTAAGCCCTGCCAAGAGCATATGCAGGCTCAGAGTCCACAGTCTGCCTGAAGCTCACCTGCGAAATTGGCAGCCCCGTCGCTGAGGCCCCTAACAGAGAAAGGAACGTGAGGACCACAATTTCTCTCCCAAGCAGGACACGCTGCCCCTGGCCTTTTCACTGCAGGCTCTCCATCTGTGGGCACTAAAACCTGGCTTCCCATGTTTAGGTCAAATTTTTTAAAAAATCTGTAATGTTTAGGTCAAAATTTTCAAAAACCATACAAAGATGATTGTACCAATATGCTGCTAAAGAAGGAAAAACTTGTAATAAACATTTCAGAAAGGGCTTAGCCTAGGAGGTAACGAGCCACGTTTGGCCGGTTGGCCACACGTGAGTCAAACCAAACCAAGAAAAAAGGCGGTTCTGTGCGCTGAACTGGGGCTCTCTGATGCTGTCTGACATCTTCATGTGTTCTGTTCTGTAATTTCCTACAGCCAATGGTCGTGGGAACGTGAGCATTTATTCCCAGGGACAGAGGAGACAGCCGGGCATATTAAGCTACCATCCCTCCCAACAACTAATGGACAAGAACAGAAACAGGAAGAAATGATCGGTGGTAGGAGGCTGGAAGAGGTTAATGAAGGAGCTGAAATCCCCACTGCCTGCTGACCAGAAGCTGCCTGTGGGCTCAGACCACGAAGGCCGGCCTTGCCCCCAGGCCCGGTCATGCTAGAGTGTGACCCTTCATAAGGCTCTTCACGGCTAATGTACTGCCGGATTCCTGATGCCGGGGACTGGCCAATCCAACCGGCCCCCGCTCTTATACCTACAGACTGACCGACCGAGCCGCGCTCACTCGTATGTAATATCTAGGACAGACTGAGTAGCTCAACAGACAGCAAAGCCTACACCGTTTTTTTCTGTCTGGCCCTTTACTAGTTATCTAAACCTTCAAAAATTAATGCTGTCACCTTAATTTTACCAAGAGGGTTGGTTTCAACATGATGGACAAGTTTACTTACTTTCTCACCTCCTAATACTGATGTGTGAATTAAAAGAGCTATTGGGCGGGTGCCCAGCTGGCTCAGCCAGTAAAGCGTGGGACTCTTGAACTCAAGGTCGTGAGTTCAAGCCCCACGTTGGGCCTAGAGCTTACTTGATGAGTGAATTAACCAATGACTGAATGAATGAGCTAAAAGGTATAAAGCACTTTGAATGCTCCATAAACACTGGCTATTAGTTAAATACCATTTTGTACCCAACCTGTCCTGATGTGATGTAGCTGGTGGCTTGGGATACAATTCCCAGTGGAATTTACAAGGTGCTGTGCCTCTAAATAATGACGGTTCCATCAAGCAGCGGAACATTCTGCAGCTGGGAAGAAGAGTGAAGACACTCATGGATTGCTGTGGAAATACCACCACGATGAATTAGTTGAGCAAAAAGAAAAAAGAGTATGTAGAACATTATGTACGGCATCTGCCTTTTACATTTGAGAGAGGAGAAAATGAAGATGATAGGTTTGTGTCTTCTTGCACAGGCCTAAAGGAAGTACAGCAACAACACACAGCTACCAGCTGGGGTTGAAAGGCTACAAAGTGGGCAGAGGGGGCAATGGTCAAGGGCAGGCTTTTCACTGGGTGGCATTTTACATGTTTGTACTTTTGGACTCGTGGAAGTATTACCTATGAAAAATTAAATTAAAAACGCTGTATCTCAAACAACTTAGAAGGGAGTGAAGATGACGTGCTCTGGAAAACCATGTTAGAGGAGTCCGCGTGTGCCTTCCGTGTGCCTCCTGACATTATAAATGCTTCATGTGAACACACAGAATGCGAACAGAAAAAAACACATAGGATACACATGATTTAAAAAACATATATATAAGGTAATTCAGAAATTAAATGACAAATGGAAATTTGTTCCATCTCTATCTCCAAAAATTAACATAGTCAAAAGTGTTTCTTACGCTATTTTAATTTCGGCCTATATGTTATATTCTTCTTTAGAAATCCAAATGAACAAATAAATGGAATAAAAAATAAAAGTCTCACCCGGGCCCCCAACCACTGACCCTTTTTATATGCATTTCTATGCATATATATAAACATGGAACTTCTCTCATACCTGTTATACTACAATTTGCTTTTTTCACCAAACTATGTCTTGATCTTTCCAGAATATTCATGTAAGACCTACTTTTTCCTTTAATGGCTACATAGTATTTTCTAGTACAGGTGTAACCTAATTTATTCAACCATTACATTTTGCTAAGCTACTTCCAGTCTTTTGCTATTTTATACTGCTATGAATATCCTTATGCATACTTTTGTATTTCTATAGGATATGGAACTGGGTAAACCTGATAGAAGTATTTAGAAAAATTTAGATTCATAATTTCCCTCATAAGAAATCAACCTCAGCTAGGCAGGAGAGCACCGCAGAGGTGGCAGGTAATGGGGTAAAATATTAACGATGGAAACCAAAGGTCAAAATTAGCTGGATTTAACTCTGAAAGTATAAAAACTGTACAATCAAAATTCACCAAACTAACACAAAAAGGACAAAGAATGGATAAAATGTAACAAATATGAAAATGGACTATTATCAGAACCCCAACAACAAAAGTGACAATGCCAGAAAAATTAAAAGACAATGATGCGGATTTGTAACTATTAAATTAGAAATTTCATAGAAAGCACTTGTAAAAAATGAAGATGGATGAGGCCAGACAATGGAGGGAAAAGTAGTTTGGTAATACGTATTAAAGTCCATTAAATATTTTGTGTGTTTTGGCTCATTCGCCCAAGGTTTGGAAATTTATTTTGCAGAACTAATTCAAACAGGGAGGTGTGTGTGAGGGGCACTTTAAACAACGTTGATCAGCACAGTGTTATTTAGAACACAAGAAACTTGAAACCTTGATGTCAACAATAACAAACACCAGAGAGGAAACAGCATGGAAGAGTTCACATACAGTGAAGTGAAAAGAGCAGAAGACAATGGACACAGCAGGTGTATAAAGGTGATGAGTTACGTCTAGTGCTTACAGTAATGCTCTCTCGGGGTGTGACATGTTTCAGGAATCTGCACAGTATATAAACTAATAAAAAAGTTTCTGGGGAAGACTGGAAGAGTAAGTTCCCTGAATGAGGATGGTTTTTCCTGGACATTATGGGATGCTGCTGTCCTTGATTAAAGACCAACAGATACCAAATTCAGCATTAGCGTCATCAAAGTCTCAGTGAACCAGATTTTCACAGCAGAAAAATGTGCTGCAAACTAGCGGTTCTATCATTAACATGCTTTTATTTAATATAAAGACATTTCAGGGCAAAGACACAAAGTACTAAAGGGAATATAACAAAAGAAACTTATTTTTGTATTGCTGTATAAATACTTACCAAGTAATAACTGTAGTATATAAAATATAAGTCCAAAGACACTGTTTGGCTGGTTTAATACACCATCCTTTCCAAAAATGGAACCCAAAAGACCAAATCCTCGACCCCATCTGTAAAATAAGGAAAACCAGTAACCCCATTTTGAGTCTTCCTATTTTTAGAAATGTAAAATTGTCTGAGAATGCCATGCCAATATACCCATCTGAGTCTCTAAGTTGCCTATTTCTACATATTCTCTTATCCAAAAGGTAGGATGGAAGTATGTTTTTTCTGATGGCATTAGTATTTGCAGAGGAAGGGCTCCATCAATGTAAGCCAGTCCCTTCGCAGCAGCACCACTGACATTCTGGCCTGAAGAATTCTTTGCACTTGGGGGCTGTTCAGTGCATTAAGGGTGTTAGCAGCAGTATCCCGGGCTCTCCCCATGAGGTGCCAGTAGTATTCTCCCACCAGTGACATGTCTCCAGCCATTGCCAGATGTCCCCGGGGGGGCAAAATCTCCTTCAAATGAAAGCTGCTGACTCAAGCTGCTTTATTTCTTCATTCAAAGTATGTGGAGCGCAGGGGCACCTGGGTGGCTCAGTCGGTTAAGCATACGACTCTTGGTTTTGGCTCAGGTCATGATCTCCTGGGTCGTGGGATCAAGCCCTGCATCGGGCTCCACACTCAGCACAGAATCTGCTTGGAATTCTCTGCCCACAAATAAGTAAATAAATAAATGAATAAATAAAATCACAAAGTATGAGGACCGAATGTTGCTTCCTGACAAATTTCACCAGGATATGCAACAGGAAAAATATCTTAGGAACATATTTGTAAACACAGAACAGTATCAGAAACTACAGGTCCTTTCTAGAATCATACCTCAAGACTAAAAAACCTGATACACAATTTGCTCTGTCACTTTTTATTTGCAGTTTAACTTCAAATTTTGCATTTAATGTTTTCAGAATCGTATTTTCCTGTTTTTAAGAAAGATTATTTCTGATTTAATAAAATTTGACTCAAATATCAAACTAACATTTACTCTGGATGAAAATCTTTGAAGATAACTTCAACTCTGAACGAGAATGCTTTTAGAAAATAAGAAAGAAAACAGCAGTCATGGTTTCAAGTCCGTAGCAAAGCACTGAATGAAACCTGAACTTTGCTTTGGAATACAAACTACCTGAAAACAAGGAAAAGTAAGTGATTATTTGTCACATGAGCTTAATAGTGTCCAAGAAAGGGTGACACCGCTTTATAATGATATTGGGAGGGAAGAGCGACCCTGATTTTACAAGCAAGTGAGAGCCCTGGGGATTTTTATCGTCCAGAGTCATCCACCTGCACATTCTTGTGCGCGTTCTAGGTGCAGTTCACGGGCCAGGTGCTGGGATACGGGAGTGAACAAGTTGGAGAAGGTGATTCCCTTGTGGGGCTTTGATTCCATTTGGGGAGGAGAAGCAGTGAGCATGGAAACAAATGACAAAGTCTCCTTCAGAAACGGAAGAAACTACTAACAGACCTGCAGGAAAAGTGAGGGCAGAGTCATTCCAGACCAGAATTGGTAAATTCTAAAAATTTAGAAATGCACACAATCATCTTGGGGTCTCATTAAAATCCAGGTTTTCCTTTAGCAGGTCTGTGGTAGGACCAAGACTGCATTTCCAAACCAAACCAAACCAAACCAAACCAAACCAAACCAAACCAAACCAAACCAAA